AATAATAATAATAATAATAATAATAATAATAAAAATTTCTTGCTGCACGCGTGTTGGACGTAGTTTCCCTAAGAACGACATACTCCTAACCGAGAAGCTCGATACATCGCGCAACACGTTGCAGCCGTCTCTGGTACACGACGGAAAGTTCGAGTCGAGTTTAAGCTGCCGTCGCGGGACGACGCAACCAAGAACGGAGCGAGTCACGCGACCAAGTGATATGTGTCAGGTCCACAATACTCGAGCGCGACTCCGCTAAGTAAATGTTATTTCCGCCGGTGCATAATTGTGACTGGGTCGAGGAACGAGGAACGAGAAACGAGAAACGTCGTGACGTGAACGTTCAGAAACGGTGGCTAGAGAGGGGTGTGGTGGCCCAGGTGGCAAACGAAGGCACTCTTTCCTCGTTGCCGACAACTCGAGTCCTCGATCTTTCGTTACGTTGACGCGCAAATTCTCTTGCCCCTGCTTAGAAAAAGAATTTAAGACGGGCGGGAAGTCTGCTCTTACTACGACTGTTGCTTGTAGCATCCAGTTTGACGAAATCTCAGGTGTTTCATGGATCAAGTGTTCGAACATCTGTAGGAATTCTTTACGAGTAATTATCATGATTGTGTTAGAACACGAGAAACTTTCACTTTGTGTCTGTGTCTTCTTAATATCGTTAGTTGCTTCGGAATGTTCCCTTTCGTGCTCCGAGTTGACGATGCTGTATCTCGCAAAGATATTCGAACACTTTACGAACATCAGATCACACGCATGAAACGATTTAAGATTTCGTTAACTCGTACAAATTTGGAAAAGTTCTTCGAGTGAGTAGTTTTCACGAGGCTTTTAAATTCAACAAATGAAACGACGATCTCTAAAATGTCACAATGTGCCACATATTAATAAAAATCTTCCTCTCAAAAAAAAAAAAAAAAAAAAAAAAAAGAAAAAAACAAACAAACCATTCGATACCCATTACCCACCCACGTCACGTTGGCGTGTCTCTCGATCCAAGCGTGCAACGTTTCGACGCGTTCAGCGTGTGCATTAATTGCTTTTCATTTGTCTAGCTAATCTCAAGGCTCGAGTTAGGAACAGAAACGTATTATGTACGTACATAGGTTTTAAACGAAGGGAAACAGAGAGAAGAGGGGGTGGAAAGATCGGAAACGGAAAGGAAGCGCACAGCGGTCTGTTTAGAGCGACGCAGCGTAGTAGGTAATCATCCGTAGATGAAAGAGCTGTCGGAGTCCGTCGAGGCGAACGAAAGGGAGCAAAGAAGAGAAACGCGGCACGAAACAGAGCCACTACTCTCTGGCTTTTGGTTCGTGCCGTGTTCTTCCCCGGCAGCGGCGTGCCTCCGCTCTGCTAGCATCCATTCTCGTTTTACCCTCGAACGAAGGGCCCCGCGGGCTGTCGTTCCCCCTCGTTTGCTGCAGCGAAACTCCCTCCCTCCTCCCATCCATGCCCCCTTTCGCTCGCCACCTTCTTACCGTCCCTTTCAATTAACTGATCAATCGGGCTACGTTAACGTTTCCTTCGACATCAAACACGCGTTGTTCGCGATAATTAATCGTCAAACTTGGTACACCGGGCGGCCCGTTAGTTATTGGCAGTCTAATCGAATCTTTTCTTTTTTTCTTCTTTTTTCCCTTCCCCCTCTCTTTCTTTCTCCTTTTTTTTCCTTTTTCTTTTACGTTCCCTCTCCGTGGGTCAGAGAGGAATCGGTCATTGAAAGTAGAGAGGGAAGCAAAACCGCTTCCGACAGAAGAAAACAGCCATTTTTTGTCGCCTCGTAACATCAAAGGGGGAGGGAGAGGGGGGGAGGGGGGAGAAGAAAGAAAAAAGCGTGCGCGCGGCGAGAATCGTTATATCGAGATATAACGTTTATATCCGATTTTTGCGAACACACGGGCCGCTTTCGATACGCGTAGACCGTCTATTAATAAGAGGGCCGCCATCACGAAATAAAGAGATGAGCCAACTATCGGAGTAACATGCCTCCCGGCTGAGATAACGTAATCGGCGTTCTCTACTGGCAACGATACGATTCAGTTTTCTGTCCGCTTTGTCGTCCACTGTCCTGTGATCGACTCTCGCTCGTTTTCATTGTTTCTTCGAATTGATAGCACCGATATAAATATATATGTACGTATGTAGGTGTATCTCGTGGATCGAGGAGAACTAATCGAAAAGGAAGGGGGACAAATAAGAGAGGATTGATAATAAACTTGATACGAAGTGGAATTGTCTGAACATCATATACTTATAATGCGTGACAACTGGATCAAAGTGAAATGTGTGAAATTTTATCGTTTCAACTCTCTTGTGTAACATTGTGCAAATTGAACTTTGTATCTACAAGTTGTTTACATTGTATGTAAAAACATGTAAAAATATCAAATGTCTTATTTAAATTAATTGTTAGATTTATTTATTTAGAATTGTTCGTCCATTTTTGACGATTGCCGTCAAATTTTTAATCTTTATTTAAATTAACCAATTTAATTATAGCCTTAACTGATAATCTTGTTCTTCCATGGGTAAACGAAATTCTAGTCGTAGAATTTTAAAAGATACCGCATGAATCAACCTACTCGAAACTATTGTGAGACATAATCACAAATACGTACTGTTACATTTTTTTAAATTGTATAAAATTAATAAGAAATTAATTAATTAATTCTTTTAGTAGTTTCGTTCAATTTAGTATTAATTCTCTTATATTAAAAAAAAAAAATGATTGATTTAATATGATTATTGTGCACTTTTCAAAATTACTCTCAATACAATATTATATATAGTATATATCCAAAGAAATATAGAACTATTTATAATAAGTTATTCCTTACTCCTTAATGGATCGACTACAGAAGAGAAAGAAAATATTAATCAATTCTATCTATATACTGCGACCTGAAATTAACAATCGTTGTCAAAGCAAATCATTTGGTTTTCCCTTGGCCGTGTCTTCCTTCCACTCTTGTAATTTTACAAGATCGAAACAAATAAATTATTACCCAGCCGTCGATAGATTTTAGAAGCCGAACTACAATGCTTGCGCTCCTCTCGCCACGCTCGTAAATATTTCCACAAAACGCGCGTTGCCTTTGAAATTAATAGACGGTGGAAGAATCGCGCAGCGCGTCGGGACTATCGAGACAAAGATGATAACGTGTTACGAACGTGTTTAGACGCGGTGGTCGGCAGTAGTCGTGCGGCATTCTAATTATTCAACGATGTACGGCTTACCGGAGGTCCGTGCACACAAGGTACCTGCTAATAATGACCGTCCGGCTTGCGGTTAACGTAGCTGCAGCGCTCCCGTACTCGAGGGGTTCGTGTAATCTCTCTGTGAAAGCTCACCCTTCTCTCTCCCGGCCAAGTCGAGGGTGACAGTGCTCCTAACACGCTGAGCACCCTGGCCTCCCCGTGTGCTAGCTAACGCTTCAGCTTCAGCTTCAGCTTCTGCTTCTGCTTCTGCTTCTGCTTCTGCTTCCACTCTTGCCGCTTTGCCCACGTTGCTTCGAAACGCCAACTTCAAACGGAATCATCAAAGGTTCATCGGCCAGAGTAATATAATTCCTTCGTTACCGTGTGTCTGATCTACGTACTATCTCTCAGTATATCGCCTACTGTTTCCTCTCGAATAGCTCGTTAGACCACCGTGTCACAGCTGTGGATGAAGTTGTAGGTGAGATTCGAACATAAGAAGAGTAGTAAAAAAAAAAAAAAGAACGAACCGATTCTTCTTGACCAACAATCGGCGACAGTGCATTTCATTCT